TACTAGGAGCAAGAAGCTACTAGGAACAAAGGGCATCGCTTCTAGTAACAAGTTTCTGGCATATTAGTCGCAGAGTTCTCGCCTCGCCAATGTGGCGTGATATGGATCGACAGGGATGGACAGAGTTCTCCCTCCCGCACTCTTCTTTCAAACATCTCTTTTGTCCTTTCTGGTGATGGGGCTGGAGGCCATCGCTAGTAGGGTGAGGCCATCGCTCAAAGCTTCACCACGGCCAGTATCCTGCACCTTGCCAGGTGCTGACGACAGTTTGCCCAGCCTCAAGAAGATCTGCAGCATGTGCCCAGATCTACCGGACCTTGGAGATTTGATGGTGGGGATGTTTCACTCGATCATTGTGAAGTCTTTCAACTCGACGTCAGAGATTAACATCCGAACACCACACACCGGGTATCCAAGCATTTAGTGAGTTTTCTCCGAACTAGATCCTAATTTGTATGCAAAACATGCACAAGCTCCGTACATGCAATGATGTAACACAAGAAACAGGATCAAAGAAGGGTACACTTAAATGATATGAATAGATACAAATTAAATATACTAATGATCTACAGGTCCCTAGGACTGTGACTTGCATTTCTTTCCACCAGGGATGCCAGAGCAGTCGAGGCCGCACCTCAAGTTGTCACATCGTCACGTTGCGCACCGAAACTGACTCGCGCGCGATGGCGAAGATTTTTGAGGAAGCTTCTTCACTGCGAGCTTGATGATCTCAGTGGCCAAGCCCTGCAAAAAAGAATAGAAAAGTAACTCTTTCAAGACATCGCACGCAATTACTTTCTACAGCTCAAAAGAATGGACTCTTGAGTTCAGCCTTTTGTGCATGCCAGCCTTGCACACTCAGTGTGAACTGACTGCTTCTGGGTATTATATAACTCTGGTTTCAGTTCTTGTGAGGCCTCCTTGTGAGATCAACGCTGCATTCAAATAGAATCACCTATGGAATTGATTTAGTCAAAGTCCAGGGTTGTCTCACTTAAGCTCACCTACCTATGGGTTTCTAAACTGAAATCGCCACTTGAGTTCGTTCTTCATGCACATGGTCTTCACCAGTCGCAGTGGATTCAGTTTGAATTCCTTTGGTGCCAGCCCAATTGTCCTTTCTTGCAATTCTCTCTAACTCTTCATTCCATTCCCTACCCCAGATATCTAAGCCAGACAACTGACAACCTAACAAGAACATGTGGTGTGTGAGCCATTGTGCAAATGTGTGTCTTGTTGTGTTTGCTTTTCGTATTTGAGCGCCCTCGCTATTAGGTTGGAGGCCATCCCTAGTTAGGTTGGAGGCCATTGCTATTAAGTAGGGAGGGGGAGCGGCCTAAAGCAAAAAAAGGTCCATGAAGCGCCCCCACCTTCACCTTCCCTGCAGGAACTCCGCAACTTCCCAGCAACTTCTCCAGCACTCCCTGACCGCAAGTCACCAAGAGTGTTCGCCCGTTTCAACTCAGTGGTGTCAATTCTCTTTTTTTAGACCTTCCTACTAGCGATGGCCTCCAACCTAATAGGAAGAGGTTGCTAGTGCCCTACCTAAGGATCTCGAAAACGCGTCCAACGGGTTTCAACCAGTGATGTTCTCATGTGTTCAGCTTTCACTGGGAAGTTGTTGTATTTCTTTGCAGGAAGCCTTCTGGAATCCCGCATACCAGGAGTTTCTTTGCAAGTCGTAGTCAGTTAGACTGAGAGCTACCTCCAACTATGTATGGTGTTTCAGACAAAGCAGGTACTTGGGGAGCTACTCCTGTCTTGGAAATGCAATCCTTACACTTCTTTAGCGCAACTTCAGATTTAAGAAGCAGCAAGAGAACATAAGAGATTCAACATGATGCGCCACTTGGAGCACTCAATCTCGCCCTGGCACTCGGCCTTCAAAGGGCCAACGCTGTAACCAGCCAGGAAGACGGACCTTGCAAAAGTTGAAGTGGTTGTCTACTTGCTACTTCAAGCTTTGTGCAGCAAGAGGTGGAACACCAGTATCCTTCGCTTCAGAATAGAGATGCTGATGACACACACTCTGTGGCTTATTCAAATCAAACCAGGATTTACCGGATCCAATCCGTAGCCGGCCAGGTGTATCAGAAAAGCGAGCTTGAGATCTAAGCAGCCAACTTTGCAGGTGCTTCGGAGTCATGCGCTAACAAGGATGAGGTGCCACCTTGGAAAAGGCGATGACAGGCAAAGTCACTCTCAAAAGAAGCAACACTGGGGCAAAGGCACAAGCCAACTAAACGGAATGCCTGAAAACACTTCAGACAGGATCTGCTGAAAGAATCTGAAAGTTTTAAAATCATTCGAAATCCAAATGAGCTAACCACAAATCTTCACTGATGCAGTGCTCTGCTCCCATCCTGGTTGTGATCTTGATCCTTCCACTTTGGGAACTCCTCCAACATGCGCTTTGCAGTGGGGATGTGGTGGAACGGAGCACCTTCACAAAAAACGAGTAGGCGATGGCACTGCGTTTCTTTCGCACTGGTAATCGACTGGGAGCTGAGCACAACAATCGAGGAAGAGATGCAAACTCGGCTTTAAAGCGAAAGAGCACCGAAGCCTTGGAAACGGAAACGAAACATGTCGCTTGGTTGGTGTTCTTAATGGGTTGGAGGCCGCTTCTAGGTTGGGCAAAGAATGCACTGTCGAATCTTTGAGTTCGGCCTTTGAGGTTGGAATTTGAGCGAAGTCCGGAATCTTCTGTCTTGACGTCGCAATGTTCTGGAAAGAGTTCAAGTCCAAAAACGAAAGGCTTGCAGAGTTTTACTCTACAGCTTGGACGCTTGAACTCAGGAGGCCCTGCCACTGCTGCTTGTACTTCATAGAGAAGTGCCTCAACATGAACAAACAAAGTGCGTGCCACTGCGCAAGCCAGGCGCCAGTGTTTGGGAACATGGATTCAAGGCAGCGACTGCACTTGAATAGCTGTGGTAAAAGACCTTAGTTTCACTTTGACGAGCCTAGTAGCAAGGTGCATCGCTACTAGGAGCAAAGACGCTACTAGGGGCTCCTGGCCCTACTACTAGGAGGGTGTGTTTTAAACTCGACCAGGTTGGCCGAAAAAGAGCTCGACATGTTCTACTACGAGGTCGATTACCGTGCAAATCTTGTCGGGAAAAGAACACGTGTTCTACTACTAGGAGCAAGAAGCTGCTAGGAGCAAGCACGCTATAGTTCCTTTGACGTGAAGCATATTAAAGCGTCACTCGATCTCCGCTCGACCAACGTGTCAAACACAAACAGTGTCTTGCCGAGCTCTGCACCACCCATTCGCCGCAGAACTCTTTCTCGTTCTTCAGCATCTCGTCAAAACACTTCCTGACACGCAAAGGTATTCACCAAGAGTGCAAGTCTCATGACCTGAAAGATTCAAAACGAATGCGGTCAGGCTTTACTTCAAAACGATAAGCAACAACTTTGAGCTCCTCCCATGCTCATCTTTGGAGACAATGGGTCCATAATCCTGCAAATGAAGCGTTGTGCTTTCCCAAAGGAGCGTCTTAGCAAGAAGAAACGCAGTGCAAGCCAATGCAAAACAGCAGAAGTTTAAATGAAAGGCATCAAACAAAGACGTAAAAGGTGTTGTCCACCTTCTTCTGCTTTCGGAGCGACTGTGCACCAAGCTTCTTCTGCTCCGCAATATGCGCTGGAGACAGGCTTGGTTCGAACCTGCAAGTTGAGGCACACGGCATGACAATGTTTAGAATACATAATAGCGAACATTGTTCCTCGTAGTACGGCCAGGAGCCCCTAGTAGCGTCCTTGCTCCTAGTAGCGATGCCAGGAGCCCCTAGTGGCGAACATTGACCCAATCATGCATGGCTGTCTGCAGTGTCGTTGTGTTGCTGGGTGGGCGAACTTTCCAGCAAACATCACCGTGGTGTCGCCAACTTTGTCCGAAAGGAATCCCACAGCACCAGCGTAGCCGTCATCCTCACCTCAGAAACTGAAATGAAACGAGATGGAGGCTCTTGAAGCAGAAAAAAGCTTGCCGAGTGTCCAATCAAAAGTTTTAGGTGGATTTGCGCAACAGAGATCTCAGCGCTCCCGATGCCCGCCTTGATGTACTGTAGCATCCGGTATGAAAGGGGGATGTGTCATGTATGCCGGTGGGCAAAAATTGCAGAGGCAAGCCAATGGATAGTTTCGCAACGTGTAAAGACATGATGAAATCATTGAGATTTTGTGGAACTCATCTGGAAGAGGATCAGCGATGTCCACGACCATGGGTTTCTTTCTGCGCTCTGCATCGAGCACTTTCCGTTCAAGTTGGCACCGAGTCTTAAATGGGATTTGAGTGCTTTTGAATGGTCAGTATTGCATTTGAGATTTTTGCAAATCATCGTGATATGGTGCATTTTGATGTGCTGGTTTCTCATTTGTATACAGTAATGATTTTGTGACTTCCCTTGCATGCGGAATACTTGGTCAAAATAGTATTTCAGTCTGAAAAGAACAAAGAGATCTCTTCTTAATCTGCCCTTGAGTTTGTGCAGGTTGGAGGCTCAATATTAGGTTGGAGGCCCTCGCTAGTCGGTTGAATGTGCTTGTTTGCTGTTCTGTCATCTCTTTCTGCGCTTCTCGGCTTCCAACCATCCTTGTGGCCGAAGAGCTTGGAACCACCTGCCGCAGTGCGCCTCCGGTTCCAAGGCTTCCGATTGCACATAGACAGGCAGGGTTTGCGAGTTTCATACCTCCTTTCATTCAACTTCTATAAACAACAAAGGACCCCGACAAATATGACATTGACGGGCGATCGATATCTCATAACACTCTGACTAAGAGTCCCTGTGAACAGATTCTATCGCACATTTTACACCCCTTCACCAGCATGCTTATCGCATGCGATTCTTCAGCAACCGCCCTCATCCTCGTCTGCGGCTCCCCACTGAATCTTCCGCGATGTCTTGCTCTCACAGTTGACCTCTCCGTGTCAAAACGACAAAAAGCAAATCTGAAAAATCGACGCACCTGCGTCATGACGGTGAAATCAAAAATGTACAGGCTATCGAATCCTTCGTTCCAACCTCGGATGGGATAAGGCTTTGAATGCTCGAAGAATGAACTCAACTCAAGAATGGCCTCAGACAGCACTGTTGGGTGGGCAAATCAGCTATGATTTCTGTCAGGCTGGCAGGTTTGAGGAAAAGCAAGTTTCCAGCAGAAAGCTACAGACTCCTTCCCTCACGTGAAACCCATGCTAGTTGGTTGCAAACTCATTCTATATCATAAAAATACGCCAAGGCCCAAGCTCCGCCAGTGATTCTTGAAGCAGTATACGCCAGTGATCATGTGAGAACTCACCAAAAACGCAGTCGAAGAGTGTACGGCCTAGGGCATCGGCTGAGTTTCTTCGTGCTGAAGGGCGTCTCTCCAGCCACATACGCCTGGCTTCATGGACAAAAAACGAAAGCTAAGACAAAGCAATGCCAAAGACCAAAAGCCTAGAAGGGGCTTAAAACTTTTAAAGAATCTTACCCAGCATGTTGCACCTTCTCAAGAAGCTGAGCATCCACATCTTTGAAAGACTCCCATTCATCATCATCTGACCACCATTCCCAGACCTCGGTGGTTTTCACTTGGTATCACTACATACAAGTAGTCCTGCGTCCGTAATCAAGTAGTGCCTACTCAAATAACTAAGTAAGGGAGAAAGTAAGCTTCTAGCCACTAAAGTTTCTGTAACTGGACGCAGGATAGCTGCACTAATGATTTGGTTTCCAAATGTTTAAGAAAACTTAACAAACGGTTTGCATTTGTATGGAGTGTAGGTCCACAACCAGGAAATCTGTGGGCCAAGAGTTAAAATGTCTCTGCTGTGCGGCCTGTCACTGAGAAGCCTTGGATGGGACTTCCAACTAATCCAAGGAACTGCTTTCTTCACCACAGCTGCAAAGTCACCTCCGCAAATGCCAAGTATTGAAGGGATTCGTTTCGATCAGCGAAGCCTTGATTTAGAGATTTTAAGTACAAAAAACAAATGGCTCCTAGATCAGTTCCTTTGAGGATAAAGGTAATTTAACTTGCACGGATCTCATGCAGGTTCAGTTTTCTGCGCATATTTGTGCCTATCGATATTTCACCTCTGCCAAGGAGCCTTTCCTGCGGATGGTCCGTGACTTTTTGCTTTCCAAGTTGGTCCTGGCGTGCAGGAGAAGGCTCCAACCGACTACAGTAAGGCAGAGAAACATCTCACAATTAATTGTCAGCTTCAAAGCTGGACAACATGCCAAAGCGACTGCGACATCTTCGCGAAATTCAGCTCGTATTTGGTTTGGTGTTCCTGTTGGCAGAAATCTACGAGTCGTGGACTGCCAAAAGAAAAGTTCATCTGCCACTCCCCAAGAGTGACGGATCCAAAAATAAGAACATCAAAAAATATTCGATGGGGGTCAAAAAAGATTTGCGATCAAAAAATATTCCAAGTAAGCAATGGAAGGAAAAAAAGGAATAGGGAAAGGACACCAGCAGAGCGGGCGACCAGAGGACCCGGAAAGGATGTTTGCAACACACAATCAAAAAACTTAGGTGAGGGCGTGCAATATGTGGTATGAATATGCGATGGGGTGACCCTTAAAAATCGGTCGTGGCAGGCCCAGTGCATTGGCCAAAGTGATGGAGATGAGGGGGGGTTGCAAACTACAAAAGCCACCAGACGCTGAAGGCACCACAAAATACATCACCATCGAAAACTACACACCCTATCACCCTATCAATGAAGGGCTCATCCACCACAGGACGATGAAAGGATGCGTGCAGCCGCTTGCAACAAAGTCAAACAGACTTAGGCGAGTGTGTGTGCAATATTTTCTGTGAGCGATGGGTGCCTAGGTGACCTTTAAAAAACCTGTCGTGGTAGGCCCAGCGCATTGTGCAGATCTCCTGGCGCTGGAGGGGGGTTGGGAGGAGGGTGCAGTGCTTCCCCAGAGAGCGAACCAAACACCAAAAGCCATCAGACTCAAAAGGCACCATAGAACAGATCACCATCGACAGCTACACACCCCATTGCCTCATGAAGGGCACTCAGACCAAAGGACCAGGGGACCAAAGAAGCACCAGGGGGCCAAAGGACCGGGGACCTACTCAGGATTCATTTTGTTCTAGTCTGTTCTTATTTGTTTATTGATCCTGATCTTTTGTTTGTTGATCCTGTTTTTTCTTTTGATCTAGATGCCATTCCAAGACAAACGTTGCTTTGAAGAAGCCAGAATCCACCATAAATCTAAATCAAGCGGAAAACAGGAGAAACATGATCTCCTGGTTGAAGGAGAACTCGGTGGTGACCACCTGTGACATGCTCAAAATTGATGCGAGCAGTAGCAGTCGCTGCCAAAGTCTTTCAACCCACACCAAGCCTTGCCTTCCCCTTTGCACCTACTGTAGCATAAAGATGCTCCAACCTCAGACTTTGGCGAACAGACCTGCTGTTAATTCGAGCATGGGATTGATTCCTGCCTTCTTGAAAAACCTTTCTCTGAATGACAATACAAAGTCCTTCTGCCGAGCACATGACAGTTCGGAATCCTGGCGAAGCTGCCGAGATTGTGCTTCCAAGCTCCACTGACCCTGAAACCCTCAAACGCCGCTTAAAAACCCAAAAGGAGGTTCGAGCAAGGCGCACCAGCTGAGATTCAACATCAACGGAAGCATCAAAGTTTCGAAAGATTATGTTTTCAGGTCCAAACGACGCAGTTTCATGCTTCAGGGTCCTCGTCAGCATATGCTTTCCAAGATGTCCCATCCTGCAATGATTATTTTTCAGGGCCAGAGATACTTTATAAAATCTGAAAGCATTGACAATGATTCTCTTGTCCGAAAACGCCCCGGAGACTTGGGGGATGGAGGTCTCATCTCCGCCTTCCATTCCCAAGCAAAGGATTTCTTGGCTTTCTTCAGAGGTGAACCTGCAAACAACGCTGGCAGAGCCAAAATAGGCATGTCACACGGCGTCTCACAAGGAATCGTGTTCACAAATCCAGGGAAAGAGCAGCTGCAAGAAAAAGGGAGAACATCAAGTACACTTAAACCGACCAAAGCACCATGTGACATTGGCTGGTGAAACCAACACATCCTGACCAAGATTGACAAGATTGGTGAAACAGGGATGAGGGTGCCCTGCCCGCTTGCTTCAACAAAGGTGCAACAGAGTCACGTATTATTAAGAGTAAAGTCAGCCTTTTGCCGTCCATGTTCAGAACATGTATTGCAGTATATTGCAGTCAATCTGGGAGCTCAAGCGCTCAAAAACGAACCCCTTGCCCGAGCATTGCCTTTTGGCTCAGCAGCAGCCTTCTTCTTTGGAGGCATGGCAAAAATAATATGTCAATCGCACAGAGGCTGAACATCCAAAAGCCCACCAACATGGCCATTCCAATCAATCTGTTTGATTGTGGTCAGACAAGTGTATGTTATTCTATGGTTTCATGTCCACACTGCAGAATTGTGCACAAATTTTGCAAGATTGGCCACAAGGAACACCAAACGAGGCACCGGAAATAGCATGCAATAATTACAATTCGTGTGCTGTCTTCAGTGTTGATCCGAACCTTCGGTATCTCGGCGGATTCTTCGATTGCTCGGATGCAAATCGAGTCTTAAAATGTGACATGTTTGTCCATACCATAAGCCTTACTATGTTTTAAACAAAAAACGTATTTTAATGTCGAAAAATGTTTTGGACGCTCTCGCGTGGAAAGTTTGGAAAAGTGTTTTGTTCCCTCGCTTCGACTGCCTCATCCGCTGTCTTTTTTTGGGTTCTTTGGTTGGCTGTTTGGCACTGTTTGGATCGTTTTGGCCCTGTCCAGTTTGTCCAGCTGTTTTCGTTTCCAGCCAGCTGACCACGCAATGCGGCAAGTTGCATCATTTCTGTTTGTTTTGCGAAGACTGCAACGGCAAAGGTTTGCGCCCCTTGAAACACACCCGACAAAGTTTTAGCCTCGTGGCCTTGCATTTTCTTTTTTACAATTCGCACTTTCGTCATTCCCTTGAAAAGTGTTCTTTCAACAAGAAGACAAGAGAGAGACACGAACAGAAGAGCGCGTCGCACGACACTGTGTGACAGCTGCTGGTCACACGGGTGGAGAGTCAGGTGGTCACACGATGTTTTGGGGTTAAAAAAACCTGTCTCCTTTGCACCCACGTCTTTATTTGGTGCTTTGCAACCATCGACACGTCTGCACTTGGTTCACATTGCAAGAAAGGCAACCTGCCAACCCATCATCCAACCAACCTACGTTTCTTGCAACCAACCAACCAACCAACCAACCAACCAACCAAGCAAGCAAGCAAGCAAGCAAGCAAGCAAGCAAACAAACAAACAACCAACCAACCAACCAACAACAACAACCATGCGTTTTCCACTTCTGCCTACAGCCCCATTGGAACCTGGGCCATGTCTAGTCTCAGCTTCTGACTTGCACATTGCACCTACAGTCCACCTTCACCATCTTACACAAATCTGCAGACGCTTTGATGGAGCTGCCTGCAACTGAACTGGTTGTTTTTTGGTTCCTTTCCTGTTGTTTGCTGTGGCAGAGTCTTAACCCTTAACCAAAGTGCACTTGGAGAACTTCTTGTTGCTTGAAGCTTTCTTTATCTTCAGAAGTTCAGCCGGAGAGAAAGAGACTTTTGGCTTGCTTTTGGCCACATGAACATTTTGCTGAAAGTTTCAAGTGCAATGCTGTGAAAACACGGATGCGGCCTTTTGATCCCGCTCCTTGAGCCAAAGTCACAATCATGCAAGACTGTTTAGAAGCTTTTCAAAGTTTGTCCAAAGCTTCTCAAACTCTTCTTAAAAGAGTCAAAGCTGTCCACAGCTTTGTCAAACACGTAGAACTATCTCCAAGAACCAGAGCTTGATTGTAACCGCGCGAAAACCCTATATTGCAGGGGAAAATTTGAACGCTGACGCTAAGATGGAACCGGACCCGGCGCAAGCCTGGCGTAGCTTGCAACAAACATAAAGGACGTGAGCTCAAAGCCTCAACAATATCTTTTCAAAACCCCATCCTTCACAACATGCATCAAACAACGAGGTCAAATAAAACGAAGCAAGGTTTCCTTGTCATACTGAACGACAAGAGATGGCTCCTGTAAACATACGCAAACATGACAGGCCCCACGGCGCCAAACCTTCGCTTAACATCTCCCCATCCTTCTTTCCTCATCCAAAATTAAGACAGCCCACAAAATACGAAGAATGGGTTCGCAACGTTTGGTCTCAGGGCGCTAGGTCGACTCACGGCGGATGTCCACCACAAGCTTTGTAGCAAACAAAAATGCACCAAGCGTGCAAGGCCGCAATCAGACTGCCGAAAAAAGCAGCTGACCATTGATCCGTAAGCTTGATTGCTTCCGATCAAGAACAAATACAGGCCAAACGCTTTCCCCCCAGCAATTCTCAAATCTCACAGGTTTTCCAAACTTTTTGCTCCTTCAAGGGATCGAAAAAAGTGATTTTTCTGGACACCAGTTTGGGGTCCAAAAACCCTAGCAAAAACCGGTCTCGCCGCAGAGGGCCTCCCCAGTTCAAGAACATGTGTGGACATGCATGTTCGCAGGGTGTGGAGAACAAGTGCCTGCGGCGCTGCAAAACCATGGAAACCCAGCGGTATGGCAAACTTCTGTCGCGTACCTGCAGAAACAATCGAAACTCTTAAGTAGAACATGTACTGTGACTGACTTTTTCTTACTAAATTCATAGCCCCATGTCTCACCTTTCTCGACAGGCTGACATAGCCGACTCGAGTTACGAACCTGGCCTTTGTTTTGGGGTTTTGGTTTGTGGGTTTGTGTTTTTTTGTTTGTTTGTTTGTGTGTTTCCTGGTCGGTGGTGTTTGGCCTCATGGTTCGTAACTCTCTCTTTACTAGCTTAAGGTGACTTGTGCGTCCTCTGCACACATAGCGCCTCGACCCGTGCAAAAAAAAGTGACTGACTTTTTACTTGCTCAGAAGATATTTCCTGCAGGGCTTTCCATCCGAGGAGAAAAACAACCAAACGCGGCCATATGCGCTTCCCCACGTCAAATCGCTGTTCCTTAGCACGTGGGAGAGGGCGGTAGCGAGGATCAGCCACCGAAGGCATCTGCAGGAGACCACTGAATTCGAAGCAGCAAGGTCGCGATCAGGCTACTACTCCACCACAATCAGGCAAATCCCATAGTTGCAACCCCCCGAACCGGGACAAGCTGAGCAACATGACCCAGTCACAGAGCAGGGCCCGGGGTTGATGGTGCAATCTGGGCCCGCTCAGGATAGTCATGACCCAGCCCCCTGCAGCAAGAGGGCAATGACAAGCCCTCAGTGTCAGGGAGAGGCCTCCTTTGAGGGCGCAAGCCAGCACGGCCCTCCCAGCAGGCGGCATCCCTAGATGCTGTCCTGGAGCAAACCTTTTTGCTTTGGCAGGAAGCGAACCCAACCTGCCGCGTACCAAAATGGATGACTACTACTGCGACAACACCCAGGAACCTAAAGCTACCATTGCGATTAAGTGAGCGGCTGGCTTCCCTCTGCAGTTGGCTGAAGCCAGTCATATTAGACTGCGGAAAGCTGATCGCCGGCGCGGTCAAACTTCCCCCCTTGTCATCCATATGGAAAGCCCTACGCCATTGTGGCGCAATGAGGACGACGAGATGGCTGGCAGTTGCCTCCTTGCTACCATGGCAGGCACTGTCATTCAAATTGTAGTGCCTGTGAGCGTACATCACAGATGGGACATGCTGGAGGACTACCTAGTGGAACATTTGCCAGCTGTCAGTCTTAGACACGTTCGGGTGTGAACTTACCGTATACTCAGCAGGCATTGTGTGATGCAATCCAAGAAGCCCTTTGGGGTAACACTCAGTACCATCTGATTGTTCAGGATTGTTTCCAGAAGTATGACTGCAGGGATCAAATTCAAGGGGAAGAGTATGAAGATTATCCCAAAGCTGTTTGGGTCCCTGCTAATGCCACTGGGATAGTCTCGGCCAAAGCTTTCTCATCAGTTGCGCGACTTCGGCATGTAAGCGTCGACCCAACCCCAGCTTTCACATGATTGACCGAGAAGCTTGGCGATATTGCTACTCGCTGCAAATTGTCAAGCTTCCTGACACAGTTGTGGCTGTAGAGTATGCGGCTTTTCAAGGGTGTTTTGCCCGTCGAAATGCCTGGTTGCGTTGCATTTGGAGTACGACTCTTTTCTGAACGCTGCGCCCTAGAACAAGTTGGCATCATCACTGACGGTGCTTGCGAATTAGCCAAAGGAGCTGGATAGGGCCATATGCCTTTGAAAGCTGTGCCAAGCTTGTTTTTTTTCCACGAGTACGGACGCCATGTGGGCGGTGTGCCCAGGTCACCATAGGAAGGATGGAAACTCTGCTTATTGGTAGGGGGGCAATCCGAAAACAACAAAAAACACACACAAAACCAAACCCAAAAACCGACCCCAAAACCACCAGCACCAAAAGGACCCCAACAACCAATGTGGGCAAAGTTTCGTCTGTACTAAGGTGAGACGTGTGAAACTTGAGAGAGTGTCGTACTAACTAGTTGGGCCCGAATTCTCGACGTATGCAGTACGCTGTATCAGGACTTTGGCTGTTGTCCTTGAAGGCCATTCAACAGTGGCCTTCGTGCGCAGACAAGGGGAAGAGTCACCCTTGCCAGGTTCGGTTGCAGGCACTTCAGCCTTGTTCGAAAACTAACAGAGCAGCTGGTGCGAATAATTTGCAGCACGTCACGTCGAAGATGATCGTTACTGGTCATCAAGTTGCAATGCTTTGCAGGCCTTGGAAAACAGCCATTCTATGGCACAACCACTGCAAATGACTGCGCGAGCAAAGGAGGCTGTGGCCAGACTTGGGTACAGAGGTGATGGACATCGCAACGAAAGTGCGGCTGCAGGCAACCGATTGACCTCCCTCAAGCAGGGGGAGGCATCACACGCCCGCCCAATAGGCTCCCGGGCAACAAGCGGAAGGAGCCTGGGGGGCGTGCAAATTGCAAAATGAGATGGATAGAGCGGTACTATCCACGGACGTGCGTGGCCCTGGTGAAACTGGTGAAACCGAAATATCTCCTAGCATGGTCCTTGCGCCATCTTTGCACAAGATTGGCTGAGTGCTGACTCCCACAGACAAAGAACTGAGGTTCTCACCTGGGTGCCAATCGCTCACTAACAGCAAGGTGTGGAGACGAACTTGGCGAGCAGCCTTTGCACACTGCTCGCACCTGGAACAGCTCAGTCTCGCCAAGAGACTACGGCGTATTGGACGAGAAGCCTTCCTAAAGTGCATTTCGTTGCGCGAAGTGCACACCCCACCACCCTT